AATAAAAGTTGCGGCACTTCTTTTTCAAGGCAGCAGCCATGTTAGGCTTTAAGCAGGAGTTCCATTTCTCTGTTAATCCACGCAGGACGGACACAAACATCGTGTTTGGTAGCTCTCTCTTGGCCTCCCGGCTTCAATAATCAACAGCTGGGGGATTTTCTGGAAGCCTCCACGCACCGAAAGTCTCCATTCAACAAGAACATTGAGTTACCAGAGTGACAGGTGCCGGTGTGTCCACGAGGCAGAGGCAGGGGACACTGTCCAGATCAAATGTCTTTCTCCAAACTTACCATTAAAAATAGTCAGGGGAAGATCAGTGCCGCGGAGAGAGGCAGAGAAACAGAGACAGAGAAACACAGGGAGAGAGAGAAACAGACAGAGAAATAGAGAGAGAGAAACAGAGAGAATAAACACTTGGCTGCTTTCCTTTCACGTTTCTAAAACTTTGAAAGTGATTACTCAGAGCTTATGCATACCAGTGGGGTAATCCAGGGCCAGAAATAACAATTACCAGTGAGTCTCAGTGCTGGGCTCCATAGTACAACAAGGCCTCTTAAATTGCTAAATATTAAATTCTGGTTTTGAATTCTAACCCAAATTTGAAATCCACAGAAATAACTCTGCTTCTTTTATGAAAGTGTAATAGTGTGTCTTCATTTTAGATTGTGAACAGAGATGTCTTTTATATTTGACTGGATCTACAAGAGCTTCAGCAGTGTCCTGCAGTTATTAGGTATTGTATCATGCAGAATTGCTGTCTGTTTCTTTTCAACTACTTGATCCCGACCTATTTAAGTGTGTTTACATGCATGCGTCCAACAAGTACTGTGTTCTTCACATTTAGTTAACTTTTTTTTTTAGCAGATTTATTTATTTTTATCTTGGCCTTTCCTAGATAAAGTGACATATTTTGGAGACTAAAGCTTAAAGTGGGTCTAAGAGCATACTGCTTCCACTCTAATATTCTCATAATGTGTTTATATCTTGCTTTGTAGTTGTTTCCCCCCCAACCCATCCTCTGATTTTCACTTTTATGATATTTGGCATTATGGACTTTACTTGATTGGTTTGCAAGGTTATAGAAACCCTTTACACTGAAATTAAGTTCTAAATATTGCAATTAAAATATTGACTATTTTGCCTCACTATACTTTTACTTTCACATCATCTAAATGTTCTTAATTGTAAACCTCAATTTTCTGATGGACATCACTAATAACTATTTAAATAAATGACTTATCACCAATAATGACTAATAACGACATTGCTAATAACAATTCATCACATGTGAAGAAAGTGCATCAAAGTTGAGATATTATCTAAGCAGTCGTTTGCCACTGCATTATTGGACAACGTGAATGTAATAAGGGAAATGATCTGATACGTTACGTCGCTCCAGCTCCCATTTGCTTCTAGTTTGAAGTTTAAAACCACAGCATCCATGCACAGCGTGACAACAGCTGGGTCACTGAAAAGCATCCACTGCCAATTAATAGAAGACATAACAGGTGGCAACCGCAGCCCGAGATAGAGCGCGTGTCTCTGAACGCCTGAATCCATTCCTTCCTGCTTTCCTGAATCTTTGACCAAATTTGAATGAAATGAAGATTTAATTTAACAATAATCAAAGTATTTCCCCCCCCACCCCCCTGTCGTCATTTCACTCTGACAAAACAAAATAGCTCAACGAGTCCAGAATCCAATATTAAGGGATTCGTGGCAATGTTGGGTTTGTGTGTGTGAACATTTTGTTGTTGTTTTCAGTTGGAAATAGTGTGGTTTTCATTTTTTACTTCAGCATTTTTAACAATTTTATGCAAATACATCATGTAGAAATGTTATTGTGATCCTCCGGTAACTCAATTCTGCAGAGTTAAATCAACACTATGCCGAGTCTATTTGGTCCTTATCAGAATCGGTGTTCATTTATCTCTTTTCAGAGTTTTTTTCAACAAACGTTTGAGTAGTTGTAACTTTTTCAAGTGTTAAAAGCACTCAGTTTCTTGTTGAAATAACTCCGAAAAGAGCTAAATGAACACCAATTCTGATAAGGACCAAATAGACTCGGCATAGTGTTGATTTAACTCTGCAGAATTCAGTCTTCATAATGTTTGGAGCAGGAGCTGCACTTTCTTAAAATATCTGTTTCCCATGTTCTTCCTCTTGTTAGGATTGTACAAGAAGAGCGGGAAGCTGGTTTTCCTCGGACTGGACAATGCTGGAAAAACAACCCTTCTGCAGATGCTCAGAGACGACAGGCTGGGGCAGCACATGCCAACACTATACCCAAGTATGGACAGCCAAACTGACGTGCAGTCCACATTGTGTTTTATGCTTTTATCCCTCTTCAAACCGTTGTGCCTCCTCTCTGCTTTCAGCGTCCGAGGAGCTGACCATAGCTGGGATGACGTTCACCACATTCGACCTCGGCGGTCACACGCAAGGTGAGAGTGCAGAATATGGTGCTGAAGTGAAGGTTTCGCTTCAGAGAAAGAAGATCTGATGCGTTCGCGGGACGCCACGTTAACCCTGAAATGCCCCCACAGCCCGGAGGATCTGGAAGAATTACTTCCCAGCAATAAACGGGATCGTCTTCATGGTGGACTGTGCTGATCATGAACGTCTAGCAGAGGCTAAAGTAGAGCTGGATGTGAGTTCATCACAAAGACGTGACCTGGTTATTTCTGCGACTGTGAGTGCTTGTGTGTTCATCTGACGCTTGTTGGGGATAGGCGCTGCTGACAGATGAAACCATCGCCAACATCCCGGTTCTCATCCTGGGGAATAAGATCGACCGTCCAGAAGCCATCAGCGAGGATGCACTCAGAGGAGTGTTTGGTCTGCATGGACATACAACTGGAAAGGTGAAGGACATGGAATACGTCTTACTACTTGTCCATGCATGATGAAGCTGGACTGCGTGAGCCAAGAATTCAACGCTTTTCCGATTGAAATATGTTCTCTCTCTATTTTCAGGGTACAGTGTCACTGAAGGAGATGAATTTGAGGCCGATGGAAGTGTTCATGTGTAGCGTCCTGAAGAGACAAGGTTACGGAGACGGTTTTCGCTGGCTCTCTCAGTATATTGATTGATTACACTTCCTTTGAAAAACAATAATTGGACTTCTGTTGATGCCTGTACACACAAAAGCATATTTAGCAGAAAACCACTTGCAGTATACATGTTTCATTAATATGCCATCGCTGGTAGTTTGACCTCAAGTGAGAGAAACGTGTAAACATTTGTTTTGTTCTTATTTTGGACAAATAGAAATCTATGTGTCATACAGCGCATTGCAATTGCTGATCTCCTCTCTTCAGATTGAATGTGGAGACAAACATTCATGCCACAGTTTTGTTTTTTTGTTTTTTTTGAAGCGTGTTGGAACACGTGCCAGAAACATGTCGGTGCTGTGACTCAGTGTCAGAGCTGGGCTTATATTTGGCTGCTGGTGTTGACTTACTGTAAAGGGCAGTTTAAGTTGATACATGGTTGAAGAACCTCCCGCTTGGGTTAAAATGTACAGTTAATCCATTGTAACTGTGAAAATCGATCAGCTATTTCATGTCAGCTGATCGATCTACTGACTGTTTTGCAAAGAGTTTCTGATGGCAGAATACTACATTAATGCCATCTCGAGTTCATCAACTGACTTTTTAGTCATAAAGCTTTATTCAGTACAAATGCTCCAGAATTGCTAAGTAATGTAAGAAACTCACAGAAAGAAAGATGCCAGTCTACAATAAATGTTATGATGAGTTACACCTGCAAAAAAAAAAAAAAAAACCTTGAGTACTTTGTGACTAGTTGCTGCTAACAACATGCAGTGATTTTATGAGAGTACTTGCACTTGAATACTTAAAATTATGCACATTTATTTCTGAGAGTAACATTGCAAAAGATGCATGTATATATATTTTGTCTAAAGTATCTTATTTATGTTTGGAATAAATAGTTTGACATTGTAGTATACGTGTTGCACTGAGACATGAAGTGAAGTCTGTTGCACAAATGTGATTCTAGTGTGGAATGTAGCACAATAAATACTTTTGACAATTATTCTCAGTTATTGAACAACTGTCATTTGTTTTTTGTTTTTAAACGACATATTTATTTTTTGCCCAGTTGAGAAATTTTTCTAGGTGATAAAAATCAAAGCATTTTTTCCTCCCCCTCATAATTATTTCAATTTAATGGTAATGATTTTAGTGTTTTTTTTTTTTCTTGGCCTGACATTCTGCGTGCTCGGCAGTCACAGTTTAGAAAGAACAAGGACATATAAATCCGACTAAGAAAATAATTAAAACATACAAGAAAAAGAAGAAAGTATAATAACTTCACAGACAGTAAACGTAGCTTATCACGGGCATATCTCTTTACGTAACATATTTTGTCACATCATTGTGTTATTACAAATGCAATAACTAAAACAACAATGCAGAGATCAGATAAAGACTGTTTAAGTTTTATTAAAACCATTTGTGATTTTAAAAGTGACAGTTAGAAAACTTAATCGAGTCTTAATCATATTTGACTGTCGAAACAATGTTTACTTAGACATTGTTTTTTTTTGGCTATGAATAAAACGTTAATTCTGATATACCAGTACTCATGTTGGAGTCCCCTAAACATGCTTAGTCTAATCTAAAGCACCAGTTCACCTGAATGCACCATGCTGCCAAAGCACAGCCGTAAAAAACTGTGTTAAAGCGCAACTCTCAAACTAGGGGAGGAAATTACATTTCAATAAGTTTAAATGAATTTTTTTGTCTACAATTTAACGTGTGAAAACAGTTTTAGATTTTGCACTAATATAGAAAACGTCATAATGTATGGAAACACAATGACATAAATACGTAGGAGCAAATTATTATCAGCGCACCGGCATTTATAAGGACACAGCTCCTTTAAACTGCCGCTCTTCTCCTTCTTGTTTCCTATTGGCTGGATCATATCAGATTTTCACCAATCGTGTTGAACATTGAGAAATAAACAGGAAGTTAGACGGTTATTGGAGTTATTTGCGACTAAGCAGTACTTTAAATTTTGATTGACTGTCATATTTTACTCTGTAATTTAAGCTCATCTTGTTATCCCATCATTGGACTGTAAGAGTTTGAAGTGCGCTGCTTTTTGAGTGATCTTTCGTGTTACTTACTACGGTAAAGTCGATCCACGCTGCAGGAATATGGAGCTGAAAGATGTGGAAAAGTGCTGCTGTGTGATTAAAGTTTCTGGGACAGCAGGGAGGAGACCCGTCAGCTGCAGTGGAGTAATCATCCACCCTCGGTCTGGTACTGTCTTATGCACCGGCCTCCCGTTTTGCCGGTTTGTTACCGACAGAGAGCTCCTCTCCTCGGACGCCGAGGTCCTGCTTCCCCGTAGCTTCAGCGACACGCTGAAAATCCGCGTCTGCTCGTCGGCTTCCGGAAGGAGCGAGCCGTCCCGTCAGCGGGAGGTTTCAGGCCAGCTGCTGATGCTGCTGAACTGCGTGGAGTTCAAACGGACCTTCATGGGAGTTTTCCGGGAGGCAGACCAGTGGCGTTTCCATGGTGATGATGAGGATGCTGAGCTGATCAGAGATGCTCAGTCCCTCAGCTGGTTTGCGGTCCTCAAGACGAGTCTGGGAGTGAACGACAACGCAGACGCGGAACGTACCCCCTGGCAGAGCAGCTCCTCGCTGCAGAAAGGCTGCCCGGTTGTTGCGTGCGGCTCTCCTTTCGGCTCTCTCTGCTTGGACCTCTTCATCGGCACCCTCAGCCGAGGGATTGTCAGCAACCTGGCTGGAGAAGACAATGCTGTGATCCTCACAGACGCTCGCTGCCTGCCCGGCACAGAGGGTGGAGGCTTGTTTGTGGCGGAGGCCACAGACAGTGTCCGTCTCATCGGCCTGATTGTTTCTCCATTTGGCTGGAAGTCAAATGAGTGGATAGGCCTCACTTTGGTCTGCTCTGTTGACGTGATCTTCAGGAGCATCATCCGTTGCACAGGGGTCCAAGATCCGCTTCATGGGGTTTGGGAGCAAAAAGAAGAGGCAGATCTCTGCATGACCAGAACAGCTCAGGGGTCAGAAGCTGTCAGGCACCCCACTGTGTGCTTTGTGGACAGTGAACAAGCCTGGGGCTCAGGAGTTGCTGTCAGCGCAGGGCTGGTGGTAACTTGCCGGCATGTAGTCGGTGAGAAGTCTGAAGTCACCCTGAAGTTTTATCAAGATGGCAGGTGATTTCATTGTTTTACTCGTCATCATCTGGTAATTGTTGCAAAAAAGCTCAACAAGTGTAAATACTTTCGCGTGACACTGCATGGTGCAGAAAAACCAGAAGCAGGATGGTAGTTTAAATGAGACAATAGATGACAAGTGCAAAACAATAAAACATGTGCAGAAAGTACTGGGAAAACAAATGGAGTCCCACAAAATGAGAGGGAGAAACAAAATATTTTGATTTACAAGTAGATCACAAAGTCAAAATGGGAAATCAGTCAAACAATGTAAAAATACTTCAATTGGTCATTTATCTCCAATATATTGTTTTCAAGTCTGGGCAGACAGAAAAAAAAACATAGTCGAACGAGCCAAAGCGATCTACTGAACTAAAGCAGATCATTCGTGAGCTTAATATTTATTCAAAAACTTGTTTTCAATTTATTTCCTTTTTTCAGAGTCCGAGATGCTGTGGGCGATGTTTTGTTCTCCACTAAACCATCGTCGCCGTATGATTTGGCTTTAATTGAGCTTAGAGTCCCCGTCCCAGAAGCTGTGATCCCCAGAATGTCAAAAAGTTTTCACCTGGGTATGATTTTGGCTTTAAACTGAAAAGAAAGAAGCACTAACTTACCTCAATATTTAACACTCGGCTGATATAATGGTTTCAGGTGAAGCTGTGGTGGTGGTGGGATACGGCGGACTGGGCCGAGTCTGCGGTCCATCCCTGACATCTGGTGTCCTCTCCAAGGCCATCAGCTCGAATGGCCAGCTTGTCATGCTCCAGACCACCTGCGCAGTACAAGCGGGAGCCAGCGGGGGCGCTGTGGTGCAGAAACAGTCGGGAGAGCTGCTCGGTAAGAAGCCCTGTACCCTTCTCGAACAGCAGGGGGCGCGCCACCCCCACGAGAAAGCCTGTCTGTGACGCACGTGCTCTGTCGCAGGGATCGTGTCCAGCAACGCGCGAGACCTGGCCGCGAGCGTAACGTATCCGCACCTCAACTTCGTCATCCCAGTGCCCGCTTTCCAGAGGCCGCTGCAGGAGTTTCAAGAGACAAGAAACGTGGACGTGTTCAGTGCGCTGAACGCCGCAGAGAGGGACGTGAGGCGGGTGTGGAGGCTGCAAGGCGCACAAAGCAAACTCTGACCTGCGATCCTTAAAACCTTTGAGAGACGACAGTTTCCTCTTAAACTCTTTTAAACAAACATTAATATACACATGAAGGCATTGTTTCCTCTAAATTCTCACTGAATTATTAGAATATTAGAAAGATGATGTTAATACCCCATGTATTATTTTATTCAGTTTGACTACAATAAACCTTTCTGTATTTTTGCTGTTTACAGTTGCACGCCTTTTCGAAATGATCCCTATTATAACAACTGTATTACACAGTTTTGCTCATCTTTATCAAGGATGCCACATTTATTGGCATCCCTGATAAAGATGTTAAAGCCCCAAATTAAATGTTTCTTCTATTGCAGTAGCCTAATCTCAGAAGAGAACATCTATAAATGAACCTTTCATCTGAATATATTTAACCATCAAAGGAGAAGAAGTCCTGACATAATTTTGATTACGCATACCTTTGAACCATGAGGCAGTAAATAGGTGCAATATGTTAGAAGGAGCTGCATTTGATCCCCTCTTGTTCTACAGTTACAGCATCAAGGGCACTATTTCTGGAAGCATTTGTGAGGATTTAAATCTGCTTCTGGTGCATGAGGTTTATTATTTTATTTTTTTTACAAGCTGGAGGAAGATTCAGCATAACAAGCTGGCAGGTTGCAGAAAATGATTGGTCCCTCTGGGCAGCTCGAGACGGCTGCTGTGTGTATATATCAGGTATTCAGACATCTGTTGGCAGGAACATTCACTCACACCGGAGGTTTCGCCCGATGGGACGTTACCGGTGCTGATTTCCATCATCGCAGAAATACGAAACCGTGAGATGACATTTCCAGAGATTGGTTACTGTCAGTTTTCACAATGCAACGGCAGACGTTCCTGGCGTGAACTCTCAAAGACAAGGAGCGCTGCATACCAAAGGGGTTTCTGTTTCACTGTTCACAGAGTGAATCGTTAACAGAGGAGAGGCTTAGGCAGTGTCCCGAGGAAACGCATTTTTCTGTAGGTGCTGTGCTTTAAGAGCTGCTCACATGCAGACCGAGGTCTATATCCAATTCCCACTGGTTTCCCTACAAGCCACGTTTCACACAACGAGGGAAGGCATAGGGAACGTAAGACGGCAACCACATTGTGTCAACACAATCCGCTCCACAGCGAACAGGTCACACAATGAGGAGATTTAGAGATTTGCGCTGGTAATTTTTCAAATTGAGCTTCAAGAGGGGGGACTGCGTGACATATTGTGGGAGACATTCTCAATTTTCATGTCACTAGAATAATCTTATCTGAGCAACGTTCCTGAAAAAGTGTTGCACCTGTGAAATATTCCTGAACGGAACCAGAATAATGCCATTTGTAAAAGTGTCCGAATTCGGTACATTTAGCAGATTAAAGCAAACAAAGGGGTCAAAAATCTAATTGTGCTTTCAATTGTAAAACGTAACCTGAGTAATAGTCTCACCTTTAGGCTTCTTGCTGTGACTACCAGATGTTTGATGCGTTGCTATTCCAAACTAGGCATAATGAAGCTGCATGAGAGCAACTGCTTTAAATGAGCTGTTTCTATGAAGATTACAATGAGCTGTTTGTTTTGGTATCATTATTCTTCAAGAGGGTACCGTAATTGAATTGTTAAAATCGCCTCTTATCTCCTTCCTCTGATCTAAACTTATTCTGCAGATGTCTAGTTTGTGCCTTTAGCCTCTTTAAATCTTGTTTAGCCCATTTTCTTTTGACTGATGAATGTTTATACTGATGTGATGAGATGTAAAGTTCCCTCACGCGTTTGGACCAGTTTGTGCACACGGTTTAAAATAAGATGTGGCGAATGATCGGTGTGAAATGAATGGTTGTTATGGAAGCCTGCTGACCTTAAGATGCTGCTCTTTGCTGCAGTTTTTTATTTTTATTTTTTGTCAGCAAGCTTCACAGATTGATTTTACCCTCCATCGCCATCTTTTTCAGGGGGAACAAAAGTGGGAGCCTTAGTCGTTTTAAACATTTTGATTGTAAACATGAAAACAGGCAGATCATAGCCCGCTAAATACAGTTTTAAAACTGAATTACTTTTTTTTTAAGAGCGACTCCTCAACTCAAACGTATCAACCAGATTTGTGCCCCAATACAAAAATGCCTTAAAGACTTTCATTTCTCTTCTCACTGTAAATTATGTCATGAAAAAAATCAAATATCAACCATGACTTTGAACAAACTGTTAACAGAGCCGCTCCTGACTGAAATCTGACAATGAAAAAAATGAAAAGAAGAAAGAAACACATCACTGCAGACAACTTATCAAAACTTCATCACATGGACAATTTTTCCATTGCTGGTCACTTTATGCACTAAAATGGAGGGTAGCAGCAAAAAAGAAAGACTTCTCAGACTCAGAAGCACGGTGACCAGCTCAGCCACATAGATAAGATTTATTTGATGTTTTTTTCTTTTCTTAATTAAACACAATAACCGATGCACATTATATTACGATGTACACTTGTCAGCTAAGCCGTAAAGCTGCCAGTCTTTCAAGGCATTGACCAGCAGGTGACATTCTGTCTTCTGATGCACACGTTATGTACAAGCTAAGGGGTGAAGTGTGAGAAACGTCCTAATAAGTCATGAATGAGACAGAGCATTACTGTCACATATGAGCCAAAGCGTATGAGGTGAAAACAATAAAACCAGAGGGCGATTTTCAATACTCTACCAGGTTTCCTTTCCTTTATGGGCAGATTACAAACTAAAATCGTAACCGGTTTCCATCTGCACACATAGAAGATAAAGAAGACCACTCTAGATTATTGAAATGCACCCAAACTGGATATATACATATATAGATTTTTTTCTTAATGCAAGCACCTGCCGCTTCTTGAAATCTCCATTACACATCAGCTAAAAACAGCTTGTAGATAGTTCAAAGGACATACAACAAAGGAGAACAAAGAGTCACAATTAAAAGGACAAGATTATTATTTTTTTTACTCCCAAGCCCCAAATTTCTGAATAACATCTCCCATTTCCTGTTTCCCAAGATAAGAACACCCTGAAACAATAAATACTCCCATTAGCGTCTGACCCCCTTCCAAATCACGACATTCCCTCGTGTTTTTCTAACCCATTATAAATCTGAGTGGAGTGTCTTTAACACATCCATCATCAGCAGTATCTATGTGTGTGTGTGTGTGTGTGTGTGTGTGTGTGTGTGTGTGTGTGTGTGTGTGTGTGTGTGTGTGTGTGTTTGGGACCGTTAAATGCTCCCACATAGAGGTTGGGATAAAAGCTGACCCTTTTACCAGATATACCCCCCGTCATCCACCTCTCCCACCTCTCCCTCCTCCTCCTCAGCCTCCTCTGCAGTCTCCTCAGCTTCCTTCTCCTCCTCGTCTTCCCATCCAACTGCGCTGCCAAAATCTCCTGAATATGTCATTTCAGAATCTGCGAAGAGAGGCATGCAGAGTAAGTGAGTTACAGCCACTGTGAGTGTCCTTTCTGTTTCAGAATATTGACGGCGGTGACAGCTAAGGGGGACATGCGTTTGACTTTGTCTGGGTTTTAATGGCTACTTCTAAACTGTGCCAGGGGAACCATTCTTATCAGACGCAGGTTCCGTCCAACCAGCCCCTCTTCCCCGCCCCCAATTTATCTTGAAAGACTTTCCTCACAGCGACAAGCAGCGCTTTAGAATGCCAATGAGTCTGGACACTGAAAAGTGGCACCGGTTTGTAAATTAAGCTGTGTTCCGGCGGAGCTAAGTCCTTCAAAACAAAAGAAGGTTTTTATGCTAAAATGCTTGCAAGATTGCAGGGAAGAAGCGGGTGGATATGCTTCGGATATTTATATCAAATCCCGGCATCATTTCATAGACTGCCCGGCGGCAGCTGAAACCTTGTCGAGGCTTACCGCAATCCGGCTTGCCACGAATCCTAGACCCCGCAACTTCTCCTCCGTTTTGGTCGACGCACCAGCACTCGCCCCTCTCGCACTGCTGCCTCCGGTAGTAGCCGTCCTCGTTGCAGCTGGGGATGAATCGGCCTGCACATGCACAAGCTCATATCAGTGAGAGTCTTACGTTTTATTTTTGGCCTGCATGATTCGCGCACAAGCACAGAAAATTAAACTTCTCGTATAAGTTCAAGACGGGTTAAAACTGAAGTATCCCACAGACTAGATATTTATTACATAGCTAAAAATAAAAATAAATAAAATCCAAACAGAGACTTAATCCAATCTTTCAGGGGAACATCTGAGTGTCTTGCTGGCAGGCAGCTCTCTGCTTGCCACTCTGTGTCCTTGGAGAGGCCTGACTCAGAACCCAGTCAGCCAACCACCCAAATTCTGCAGTTCAAACACATTCTCACACACTGATACACAAATCTGGATGCTTACATATTCATCTGCTTGCACACGATACTGAGGGTAGACAGAGGGTTGTGTCTTGTGTTAGCATTACGTAACTCATAGAGTGGATCGTGGACTGACACCCATCTCTAACAGAACCACCAGATGAAGACATCCACAGCTAAACGTGTTGGGATGCAGCTGCAGAATATTAATACATACCAAACTTTTTCTTCCCACCGTCCAGAACTTGAATCCTCTCTAGTTCTGCTAGGCAGGGCGGCTCTTAAAAAAGATAAAAGAAGATTGTTTTTACAAGAAGAGGTGGAACCATTTTACCTGACAAAGTGACGCAAGGCTGAACTGTAAGACTAGTGTTACTGGAGCAACAGATAGCACACAAGCAGCAGAAAGTCACAGTATAGAGCCAAAGCTCCCATCAGCCTCAGAAATACTCACTCTCCCTCCAGAAGCAGAGGCACCATTCAGCCGTGGAAACCTTTCCATCCCTGTAGGAGTCGCAGGAGTTGAAAAATGGCCGGATGCAGACCTCGTATTTTTCCAGGTTGATGGCAGCCAGCTCGGCCTGATCCAGGTAAAGGTCGTTATTGGTGTCGAGCTTGGAGAACATCCAACCTATGGAGTCCTTACAGCTGGCGACCAGGCTCCTGTCCAGCACTGCCAACACAAATTCATTTATTCTTATTGTCCAAACAGCTGCACAAATAATACATACAATATAGTACATTAAATCAGGTCGATGATCTGAGGAGGTACACCATCATCCACACTTATTAGTAAAATGAGTACATTTACTCTACAGGACAAAAATACCAAATTAGCACTATTTCTCTTTTTGACAAAATCACTGATGCCACTCTTACTGACAACTTCTCATGAAGTTCATGTGACTTAGATGCTGCATTACATGTATGTTAGCTCCAGATGTTGCAAAATGCTACATACATAGCATCACAATTTAATGCCTTGAAACAGGGCCTAGTCTTTTTAAAAACTCTGTAACAACGCTGCTCCTTTATAAACCCTTTAGCAATGTTTTTACCAGTCTTTTTCTGAGAAGTAGTTCATATAATGAGCTCAGAAGCTGCTTAGTTCCACCAAGTGTTTGCCAGTTTCTGCTGGCTAGTCTGAAGGAACTGAGTGGGGGATTTGCAGAGGAGGGGTTAATCCAGATTTCCTGCGCCTTTTATCTTCTACACTTCTTACGAACAAAAGTTACCAATCTCAAATGAAGCTGCACAATATACCAGGAAAATATTGAATTCCAATACTTTTATTAAATGCTGAAATGACAGTAGAAATTATGATCAAGATTTTTAAAAATCTTTTTCCACAATATTGTCTACCAGCTTTAACTTCTACTGAAAATAAAACATCTGATGGGGTCAAGAGTAGCTAAGTCAGTCCATTGGGCCAAATAACTACTGGCATGCAATTTGATACATTGTGCTACTGCAGTGTAATACTATATGTTGCATAACATTATCTCTATTGATAAAGTATTACTAGCATTAACAAAATGTCTGTGTCATCTGGTGGAAGCAATAAGTACAGATCAGTTTTTGTTTGTTTTGATTAGAACAGCAAAAAAAAAACATCTGGATGGAAAACCTTTATGAATAGATAGGAAAGCAGTCCTACTAAAAGCAAGGTGCTCATTGGTCACATCAGCAATTTGACTGTCAGAATTTTCTTATGTTCTCTTAGAAATGTAATTAAATAAAACAAGTCGATTTTGAGTTGCTGAAAACCCAAACCATGTAAATGTTTTCATAATGCTGTGGTGATTAATTGAGAAAAGGCTCTAACCTGACGTAGTGCTGGCTGCTGGGGATCTGGCCCCTTGCTTGCTGTTATTGTTCTGCTTGGCGTTGGTCTGCAGGAGCTGGAACCAATCCTTCAGACGCTCGCCGAGATCAGACAGATCCTGCCCGGTGCAGCTCTCTGTGAAAGCCAGATGGAGGGATACGCATGACGTATTTTCTGCGCGCAGAGGGCATGTGTCAAACTATTAAAAAAACGCAGAGGCTGATATAAAACTGGTGTGGTTATCACGCTTGTAGACTATGCTTATTAATTATTCTGCCACAAATTTGGATCTCACCGTGGTTCCCCTCCCTGGACGCAGGTGCAGCAGTTGGGCAAGGACACAGACCTGAACACTTCAGGGTGAGAGCTTTCCCAGTGAGACACGCCTGCTGCTCTAGCTTGCACTGCAACACACACACACACGCGCACACACACACAGAGGGGATCATTACACGCAGACACACAAGCCAACAGCGTCGACAAGGGGACACAAAGGTGAACCAAAATGAGTTTACTGCTGCAACACAGATCAAATATTCGTGAGGTGACTGGCTATAAACCCTGATTCAAATCTGAGACCTGCTCCTAAATGTGTCGACATCCAACCTCTGCTCACTTGCAAGGTCAGGAACAGGGATCCACGAGGCAAAGCATGAATCAATAAACACACAGGACCCTGTCACCGCGAGTTGCCAATTGGTCCCTATGAGGTAGCATATCATGGCTCTTTGTCCTGGGTTTTCCCAGGAGACGCTTCTCACACGGCTCAGATCAGAATGTTCTTCTGTTTTTATCCCAAACTACACGGCACACTGTCAGAATACAAAACAGATTTATCGCTTTTAATAGCCGTGTGTGTGTGCGTGTCTTCACGCAACATATGCATGAAGACACGCATATGATAAGGTGATGTTTAACCAATGCATTCGTTTCCATATTTTGTACTGCCTCACGAAGAGGAACGCAGCCAAGATTTTTTTTTTCCCCCCTTTAGATTTTACGGATGTTCAGTGATTATTTCTGTTTAATCTTGAGTAAATAAAATATTGTTTTATAGCCATCTGGAAAGGACAGAGGTAAATAATGAGTAATACGCAAATGAACACATTATCATCTCAAGAATACATAGTAAACAGGAGTGTAGGAGTGGATAATATGATTCAGTGGAACTGAGCTAACTCGTCATATTCAGTAATAGAATATTTTGCTTGTTTATCAGATCAAAAGTAAAAGAAAATACCTTCTAGCACGTATTAGACATACTTTTCCTTAAGCCTTCATTTCGACATCGAACATGTTTCTTCTATTTAATATAATTTCTTTAATATTCTAATATTAAATATTTTATTTTCATAAGCTGCATGCATAAAGTCATCATAATTATGCAAAATAAAGGCCTTAAATCACCACTCTGTAATCACATCGAGTTACTGGTATAAATGTACTTTTCAATGATATTCTAATGTACTGAATGGGCCTGTCAATACTGAGGACTTTATTATTTTGGATTTCAACTACAGAGCAAAGTGAACAAAGTACTAAATGTAAAAAAGGCTCAATGACCAAGACCTTCACAGAACAGGACAACAACTCACAAGAACAAACAAAAAAATCTCCCATCAACAATGCGAAATCTGTTAAACATACACTAAACAGTACTCAAATGTTACACTTTCCATTGTGTTCTTTCCCAAATTTTCTTGATGCTTCACTGTTTCATATTGTAACAGAATTAGGGCAAATGTTTTCAATGTGCTACTGGTTTAGTCTAGAGAGCTTCAGCATTTGCACAGACATGGGAAAATGTACCTTTGAGGCGTAGTTGTGTCCGTCTGATCCACACACTGGCCCGGTGGAGGAGATGGGACATGGCTGACAGTTCCCATCAGGAGAGCGCAGAGTGGGCTGCTTCAGTCTGTGGGATAGGGGACATGCAAATACTTCACCCTTACTTCATCAAGCTAAGACGGCCACTGCCAAATTAACTCAAGAGTCGAGACTCAGCAGCTCCAGGCTGGGCATGAGATCACGATGCAAACAGCCCCTCCATGTTGTCTGAATGTATTAGCTTCTCATTACACAGCAGGAGCCTCTTATTGTTCCCACTCTGGCCAGCAGCAAAACACATCCCACTCTAGCTGCAGTGTAGACTATCAGTGTTGACCTCATGTCACTGTGCTGGAGGAAGTTTTCTCAATCTTCCTGTGTTTGGAGAATTAGTCAGTCAGTCTTTCTACACACGCTCACCTGTGCTCCAGCTTCTTGCGGTTGACGCACACGGCTTTCTGGTAGCCCTGGGCGATGCACACCTTGTGTCGGCTACACTTAACCTTCTGACAGGGGTCCTTGGTGGTGTCTACATCTGGGAAACAAACAGGAAATTAGACGCAAACGGTGATGCTTCCCCAGCTTCTTTTTTCTGATAACAAGTAGATTCCTCTGGTTATAGTTTTACATTCGGCTTCCAGCCTCAGCTCCCACGTGGCTCAGCTTGGCTTACTCAGAAAGACCTGAGAGTTGGCCTGAGTTATTACATAAGCGCAGAGTTGTTGTTCTTTTGACGTTATAAAATTACATTAAGATCTGTATTGAACTGAAGGAAAATAAAGGAGGATGTTCTTACAAATAAAAGCTTAAAACACTTTGAAACAAAATATTTTCCTAAAGCTTTGTTTTTGCTGCTGTGACAGAATTGCACGTTTTGTCATGGCTGCAACATCACTTTCTGTTTTCCTCGATGCACACCGCCCTGCATGTTTCAGGTGTTTCCCAGCTGCAACCATCTAATTCCAACTGACGGCTGATTGACAGGCACTTGCTGAACTGCAATCGCCTGAATCAGGAATATTAAAGCAGGGAAACATCTAAACTATGCAGGGCAGTGTGCCACGAGGCCCATGGCTGGGAAACACTGCTCTAGACTACAGCATGCCAACGTGAGTAAATCTTCATCAGTGAAGACAGTTTGTTTGCATAACGTAGTATGAGGCTGCTGCTGCAACATTTATGCAGTGCTTGTGTAAATATTGCAGCGATGGCAATGAAAGCAGCATACAGTATGTTTGTACGCCAGTAAAGCGCAAGATGTGTAGCACTTTGGAAGTTCCTATGTTCAAAACGGAGCACTTTGTCTTGAGACTTGAAGCTGTGTACCTGCTGCCTACAGTGCAACAAAAGAGCAGAGCCTGTACCAATACAGTAAGGAAATATTTGTTTTTCATGGCCTGTTGCAGAAGGAACATGCCCTCTGCTGTGATCTGAGGACATGGTGGTGTCTTTTTTATGCTTGATCAGTTTGCAACAAACCAGTCTGAACCATATTGTGTTATCTGTTCCAACCTTTCTGCCACCATGGGTAGGAACAAAGTCGTACCAAAAGACATCTGTGACATCATATTAGATGTGCATAAGCCTGAAACGGGCCTCAAAGCGATCAGCAAGAATCTGGTTGAGTTATTTCAACATGGAAGAATTACACAGCCATCATTCACTTCCTTTGTCTAGGGCTTCATGAAAGATCTTGTTATTGGTACACATTTTGTACCAGGCTGTCTTAAATTTGACATTGAACATCTAACTGATTCCAGAAGGAATTAGGAGAAAGTTCTGCAGTAAATATGAGAACAAAACCGGACTATCCTGGCTCAACTCAGACCTGCTGTGAATGCCCAAGTGCAGAGTCCTCACCTACTCAGAAAACTAAAATTACAAAATTATTGGGAAACATCTGTGTATGTTCATGGACCAAAAAATCCTGGACAAGAACCTTCCTCTCTAAGCCATAAACAACAAAGAATGACAATGGCTACTCTTCTTTTAGTGCTACATCAATTAGTCACTTTTTGTATGAATGTGGTGGAACTGTAAGTCTCTTTGATTTATTTATGGACATTGCATACCAAACTTTAGCTGACTCTGACAGGGAAAAGCTTTTTGCTACTTCAACTAAATTTAAATTGCCTGCTCGGTGTGTCTCCATATCACTCACTCTTGAAGCAGCTAAAGCTGGACAGTGTGTCAGCCTTTCTCTATATTCTCATCTGTCACAGCTATCTACTCCAAACAGGCCTCCCAGAGCCTGACCTGGAAGTGGCCTTGCCGTCCTTTTTCACACCGGGCGGTCTTCCATTCATCTGCATGTCTGCCTCTGTTTGCTGCCAGAGCACAAAAAGACAACTCATCTGTGCGCCTGTAAATCATACTCGAATTCATTTTCTTCTCTCACTGAGTGCCGTTTCTATATCTATATTATCATTAAGCAGACAGGCTTATCATCTCCTCTCTTTTTTCCCCTTCCGCTGAATATATTAATGCGGCAAATTCCCGTGGATTATTGTAGCCGTCGGACAGATATCTGATTTTTAGAAGCAAATCCAAAACAATACGACGAGCTGTCGAGACTGAGATTGTTACGCAAGTGACAGGCTGACTGCTCCGCTGCAGGAACTGTGAACGCCCAAATGCAGACTCCTCACTCAGAATATCAATATTAAAGCCTTATATTTGGTTAACTTTCTGTATGTCTCCCGCGGTGCCACCAGCTTCCTCTGCTCTCCACCCTTTATGTCCATTTTGTCTTTCTGATGCAGGTCTGTTGTTCAATACCCACCAGAACGCAGGCAAAATACAGCACCAAACTCAAAACAGCTTCATGTATACAAAATGTATTTTAAGCAAATCTTTTACTGAAGCAATGAAGAAACAAAAATAATCCTGCCTTCTGGGACGGAAACGTTTCTGATGAAATTTTGTCCCCTGTGAGCAGCTAGAATACTGGCACAGCGTTGTGTTGTGAGTGCAGAAGCATAAGGTGGCTGCCTGAGCCTCATGTTAACTTAACAAGCTTCCACGGATTAAAGCAGTGCCTGCAATGATGACGTTTCCATAGCAACAGCCTCTCCGTGGTCTGAGAATCATTTCTTGGTCGACTGTGATTTGCAGCTCAATCTGCTGCTTCTGAGAATCCTCTCTCTGGATGTGTTTGAAACCCGCGATGTCCGACTGTTGCACAAATCGGCATCTCTTTCAGCTTCTCTTTCCTTCGTGCGGCTTCCAACGTCCGGATCATGGCCTCTCCTTCTGAGTGTGCACGGTGTGTGCTTACTACTTCCACCATGCGGCCGTCCTTTCTGCATCTAATTCCTGAAAGCCACCTTCTTTCTGAAAGGCTCTTCTTTGGTATTAAACTAATGCCTGCAGAGGAAAACCTCTCCTAATTAGGCCTGCCAGTGCTTTTGTCTAATCCAATCCAGATTTGCATGAGGTTTATCCCATCAGATTGAGGAGAGTTGGAACAGAGCTAAGGCCACATCCTTATCATCAACTCTTTTATCCTCTATTTACAAAGCCGGCCAGTAACGTCTGAGCGATGCGGTCTACAATTGACGCTATGCAAAACTGTCCGTTGTACTTTAAACTTCACCACATTTTCCATCTTACAACCTCTAGATTCTGGGTATTTTATTGAGATTGTCAGTTTTGATCCCTGATTCAAACAGTTGCATTTTCATGCGATCAGTTGCTGCAGAAAGTTACTAATCATGTTTTCATTTAAATCAGGTGTGCAGCAGCAGGGAAATACCGAAAAGTAAAGAGTATGTTGTTTTCTATCATACATCACATTTTGCTTGTTGGCTTAAATGTGAAACTCATCTGGCCAGAGCATCGTTTGCCACATGGTTGGAGTGTCTCCTACATCTTTTGAGGGATTTGACAGGATTTTATATGACTTTCTTGCAACAACGGCTTTTGCTTTTGTATAAAAACCAGATTTGTAAAGCCCACTGATGTTTTCTAGTCTAGCAAGTCATTGAGGTCTTCACAAGAGAGCCATATTTAAACTGAGATTAATGGTAATTGGTTAAAGGTTTATTCAGGGGGTTCATTATAAATCCTCATCACTCCTTTCAGATTTTGAAAAGATGATCAAGAATGAATGAAATACTGACGCAATTAAGTGAAAACAGACTCAATAAGATGGATGATAAAAGCCTAAAAAAAAGGTACACTGGGTTTAATTTGAAGCCGTTCCATTTACAACCCCACAAGTAGCAAACGAAAAGGCTGCATGAGAAGTGACAGCCGAGAGATTATTCTTAACTTGTTTTCAAAAATAACAGAATTTTTCCAGCAAAAACACAACTAAGCTGCTGGTTCTTCATCTGATGCAGAAATGCAGAACCTTGTTAGTAACCTAACAGCATCAGTGTTTGTGCATTTGAAGTACCATGTCACCAATAATCTATCGAAAGCCTCAAGAGGTGTTAAACTCCAAACATCAGAGTGTGCACTCAGCGAGTTTTACTATCTTCTTACTGTCTGCCATTGATCTGAAGCCAATGATTTGCCACGAAGTCTCTATTCACCATTCATCGGACCTTCTGATATCTGTGTCTAAGGATCCGATGTAAACTGGATGAGGTCTTTCCGCTAGCTGTGTGCAAGCCTTGGACGTGCTAGTGTGGGTGTATGTGCACACTTGTTTGCTCTTAGAAGTCTAAATTACAAATGCCCTGGCTGCAGTGTTTGCTGTCTCAAGAGCGGGGTGATTCAATCAGCAGCTAGATTGATGAATCAACTGCAGAAATCAGCTCCAAATTACCCTGACATCTCCCTCGCTCAGCACACTGCTGACTTAAGAGCAGTCAGCTGCTGCCGCGTCTGAATGCAAATTCGAACATCAGCTTGTTGTCTGCGTTGGCTTTCTAACTCTGAGTGTAAGGAGTGTTGACAGTTCTGAAGCTCTGCCTTCCTGTGCAGAGACGCCTGGCTGAGAAATGACGCCCGCAGGCGCAGCGCTCCGGAGTAAAGACATCAGACTGATTTAGGGATGTCTCAAAGGGACAAATCGCTTTTCACTTCTGCGCTTCATTAGGCCACTCATAAAGGAAGGCAGATCAATGGTAGGAGGTAGAGGAGTCCCATCAAAAGTGAGGAAGGGAAGTAGATTAAAGGCTTGAAACTGCAGAAAATCAAAGTCGAAATCCTCCTTTCTGAAGCGCAGCCGTAATCCTCGCAACATTACTTGATGAATTCTGATCAGTGACAGTTCGGTTGGCTGTGAAACCAAACAGCTGGTAATTAAAGTGATCTCTGATGCTTAATGACATCAAAACAAGCCAAATTTTGCAATATTTGACATAGAAACAGGTCAAAATGAAGACATTCCAACAATTTATCATTATTTTTTTTGCAACGTAATTTTTTATGATATCTCGTAATGTTAAAAACATGCTATATTTCTGATGTAAATAAAGTTTGCCTCCTGAAGTAGCTCTTTGGATGTGACTTAATGCGTTTGTTTACGATGCTAATGTTGAAGCAGGACAGGAGTTAAACTGCTGCCCCGTTGAGTGAACTTAAAAATGCTCAGTGAGAGAAATTTGGGTCAATGGAAGAAAAAACAAATGTGACTAAGAAAGGATTTGCAAGCATTGAAAAGAAAGACTGTTGTCTTATATTTAGCAAGCCTAATGCAGACGTCCTCCCTTGAACAATGAATCAAAGTACATTAACTTCCACCCTCTGATCTTATGCCGCCACCTCTCTGTCAAGGTTTTTATGACGGAGTATAATTAGTCTTTCATTAAAGCTCTTGGAAATTGTGCTAATGTACTCTGCTCTTCAGCTGACTCCACTTAAGCTGCAAATCGGCCAACAAAAGACAACAATAGCTGACAACTCAACACTGTGTCGGGACTTTGCTTTGCGGGAACTCAATTAGGGCCGCAGTAGCTGCAGGAGTCGGGAAGGTGACCGCAGAGAGCAGAGAAAAAAAAATAGTAGGAGGAAACAGAAAGGGGTGCTGCTAGGTTGAAATTAAGGCAATTCTGTTAACACTGGAGGGCAACTCACTCGTACAAATAAAACAGAACACTAATATCTTTCAGAGGAGTTGTTTTTATGAAAACTGCCTCTCACTACACAGTTAATGGTGAGCTCTCAAATGGAGGAAAATCTGGCTTTGCCTTGTGTGTACCTTTCAATTTCTTTAATGCATCTCTTAGACTTATGTAGGCTTTATATTAAATTATATGCATAAACAACGGCTTAAAAATACGCTTAGAGATAGTGATGGGTGGTAATATTACCATCCATCAAATGTATTTCATAGGTTAGGAGAAAAAAAAAATAAACAATGTAGATGTTTTGAAAGAAGTGAAGAAATGTCTTGGCCATCGCTGCTTAGTGATTGTTTGTTCCCCCTAATCAAGCTCCAGAGCAAGCAATTCCCCTCCAAAACCATTGGTGGCAACTTTGTTACAATACTGCCGACAACAAAAGCTCCTTGTTTGCTTTCAGGAACTGAATTAACCACACATGCAGACAACACAGGGAGTGTGAGACTTACTGTCATTAGAGTCTTGGTTTTCATCCCAGGTTCGCACATAATCGTCCTGCAGAAACATTGATAAAAGTAAGTGGTGTGTTTAGCAGCTGCAAGGAAAAAGCAACAAAGTGTCACAGGTAGTTTGAAAGGTATAACATCCGAGTATCACACAGCAAAAGAAATGTGATTTCCTTTATCGCTGCACACCGACTATGACGTGAAGGCTGGCGTGATAAGTGACTGTCAGTCGGATAAAACGGGTCCATTCTGCTCTGCATGTTTTATGTAAATAAGTTGAACAAATCTGATAAGTGGGACATATGCCGTTATTGGGAGCATGTCTTTTAACTAGACTTCTTTTCCCCCCCCGCATTTTAATTAGAACATTATTCGTTCTAATTAAATTGCAGCAGACAGGTGAAGTGGGGGTGGGGGAGAAGAAATAGCACACAAACTTGTAGTAAAAGACAATGAATGGAGAGAAGAATTGTAGAGAAGCAGTAGATAAAAGGAAAGACAACTGACCTCAACCTCCTGGCGAAACGAGAGCAAAAAGAGAGAAAAGTCAGTTAGTTTCAGCAAAGGGGAAAAAAATAATTTCAAGTTGAGCTATAAACTTGCATTCAGTGATGTTACAATTTGATGATGGAAACACACAATGTGCTCCTTCTGCATAATTTAAATATGTCAAAAGGCAAGAAAAATGCAAAAAAAAAGGTTAACCTATGAGGACATTCCTTACCATAAGACTCGTACTACTAGCAGTCAGATTGAATATAAACATGGGTTTACATTTCAGTCTGAAAGAAGCCTAGAAAAATCATTCGCACCAAAATCTTGAAACACCCACAGTTGCAAACGTGTTAAAGCAAACGTGATTAAATCTGCTTTAGATCAAAGAACCCCCTCAGGCCAGACTTCATATGTAAAGCTTTTAGTGCATATTGCCGCATCTGATATAATACAAATATGAGTCATTTCAAAATATTTCCTGTTTAGCCACACAAGCAATCCTTAAGCAATGACTTACTCATCATTATAAACATTTACTGCACCGGAAGCAAGAGCCAGCAGCTCCTCGGGAGGCGATAAAGTCCCAAACAACATGTGAAATAAACAGGCTTCATTGAAGCAGGGATCGTTGCCACGACTTTTTATATTTATACACAAACATGGACTTAAGCATTACTCGCCTTAAGGTGCATTATGGAAATTTTCACACCTTTTGTATTTTACATAGTTAGTTTTCTTCCAACCTCTAACTTCTATTTGTTTTTTAGGGATTTTTATGCTGTAGATTAATACAAGTTACTTTAGCAAATGTAAATCTAGAAACTGTGCTCGTATTCAGGTCCCCAAAGTTAACGATTAGTAAAACTAATTTTCATTGCAATTACAGTGACGCATCTAGAATTTTTTTTTCATCATGATTTGAAAAAACAGCTGAAGTTCAATCAGATTGGATGAAGATGATCTGTGAGAAACTAATTTCAAGTTTTGCCACTAATTTTGATTTGGATTTAAGTCTAGATGTTGACTGGGCCACTCCAACACATGTAGCCCAGTGTTATACCGAGCTTTCTAATAACTATATGTTCGGATTAATAAAAGTTTTAATAGGTCACTACAAGACTTGAAATAAATGTTTATTTACTAAAAAATAACCCTTTTGATAACTAGGGACTACATAATCTTGTTTTGACAGAAATATATTAGTATTCTTCTTTAATATTTAAATAATATAAAGGGTATTTTATTTGGCTTTGCCATGTGATTGGTTATTAATACAGTCCGACTGGGGCGTGACTCCTGATTGGTGGAGAGAAGGAGAGGAGTGAGGAGAAGAAAAAAATGGTGAATAGCGGAGGGTGAGGCGAACCGATCAGAAAGAAAGAAGAAAACAGATTTGAGCGAGAGAGAACGGGAGAGAAAAAAAAAACACACTGGAGAAGACGAAGTTCGGAAGAAGTTTGAGGGGCTTAGGTCGCCGCGAGAGGGACTGAACAAGAGGAGACAGACGGGAGTGGTCCGGACGAGTTCGGCTAAGCTAAAGAAGCTAGCCACTTCAAGCTAAAGGAGCTAGCCGCTTTGGACAAGGGACTTCAATGCACTGAACACGAGTCCAGTGGATTTGCAGCGCTCTCAAAGTTTTTGTGAATTGCAGCGCTCTCAATGTTTTGTTTTTTCCTTCGGGACTTCAACTCTTTGTTTTTGTAACAGGCCTGCAACGTTTTTTCACACTCTCCTGGAGGTCGTGAGTAACCAACTGCCAGGGTTACATTTGTTTAAGACTGTTGTTGTGTTCTGGTTCATTGGAATCAAAAGGTGGACATTAATGTCTTAATATTTTTGCCTTATGTTTATGTTTTGTAAATATTATTGAATGGTCGTTCAACTTTAAAGTTACAGGGGTGACTAACTAATAGGTTTTCTGTCTCTTTAGTTTAATAAAGTTAGGCTGAACCATTTCGCCTAAAATTCTGAACTTTCTCTGGGTCATATTTGTCATAAATTAGGTAATTGGTGCCGCACAACAATTGGGGTACCGGAGGTACATGGAACCCAGCACCCTCCATTTTAGTTTCTTTACATAGAATGGAAGAAGGTGCTACACACATATAAATATATTCAGATCTAGAATCACTCTTGCTGTGTGCTTTGTGTCGTTGCCTTTCTTGAAGGTAATCTTCCTCTTATCTCAAGTGTTTGGCAGCCTCTATCAGATTTTCCTTTTCTACAATTGCCATGTGTTTAGCTTTTTGTCTACTTTGAGCAGCTTCCCTTTCCAAAGATACTACCACCACTATGTTTCACTGTGAACTTTGTGTTTTCAGGATCATGCGCTGGTTCAGGCACAAGTAGGGTTTCAAAATGTTCAGGACCACATTCTACCATGTTTGCTGTGTCCCCTTCAGGGATGGTGGGAAAGTGCAACAGTGACGTCTTTCCTCTCGCTGCTCTTTCACAAAGCCCAGATTTGTGTACAACTAATAGTTTTCCTGTCAACAGATTCTCCCACTTGAGCTGTGAATCTCAGCTTTCACACTGTTTCCATGTGTCTCTTGGCTGTTGATTAATATTCTTCTTGCCTGGTCTGCCAGTAAACTTGTGCTTGTATCATCCTCCCCTTTTAAGGTAATGGACTGGGTATTATGCTGCAAGATGTTTTAAGGTTGAGATACTGTTCTTATGATCTAATTCTACCTTATTTTTAACCAAATCTTTATCCATGACCTCTCTGCTCTCTTTCTTATGTCTTCATGATGCTGCAAGTCCACTAACGTTCTCTGACAAGCAAAGACGAGATGTGTATTTACTGATATTAGAAAGGGGGTGTTCTTCTTACATACTAGGTGACTTCTGAAGGCAGTTGATTGCGAATGAAGCGGGTTAGATATAAATGTGTGTCACACTTTCCACGTTCTTCCTTGTAAACATTTAGGAAAAAAAAACATTTCCCGTGTTCCTTTCACTTCACAGCATCAATCAATCACGTAAAATCCCAGGATACATAAAAGTTTGTGGTATGTGAAAGACATCCAGGGGTATAAAGTGTATCCTCCGCCTGCTGCAGTCCTTTATATCACCAAAGCATACACCTGCAGTGAGCTGTCTTTGTCGGCTGAGCTTCATGAGTGATTGTCAGCTATGTTGTTCAACCTTGTCGGCTCTGACGGAGGCCAACGTTGCAGCCGGGTGAGACCTCAAACAGTTTACGACCTGGCCGTTAATCTGATGCCTCCCATGCCTCCTTTATCGATGCCGCGGCTCCTGCATTATTTAGCAACCTTTCTGTATTTGTGCTCCTGCCAGCACAGATAAGGAAACCATCCTGCAGCACTAACAGGACTGAAAATCGATGATTTTTGTAAAAGAGAGGCAGCACAAAATGTATTTGGGGAAGGAATAAATTCTCCGAGCTGAACACCGAGAGTGAGCTCGACGCATGGAGAGAGGAGACACAATGGAGAGGTTACACCGCGTGTATCTTCACAGACCGAAATGCAGGCGCGAAAGACGGCGAGGTTTAACACTGAAGTGATTAAAGGAGAGATAAAAACACCGAGCTGTGTCCGGGAGCCGTAGGATCAAGCTGATAACATCGCAAGAAACCGAGAAGCTTAGCATCTCTAACAAAGTGCCAAAATACTGACTGACGGAGAGACCCAACCTTTGTGATGGAAAACATACAAACTCAGACCAAAGCAAGGTATTGACAGACAGAAACTGTCGTTCAGCTGCAGGAAAAAAGAACAAACAGTCAGGTGGCTGAAATGTGAGAATACAACTTTGTGGGTCTGTTTGACAAACCGCTTGTGTCGCTGACAGGCACTTCTGAGCAAATGTCAGCTGTCAGCTGCAGCCTGTGTTCACCGGAGGGGTTTGCGCATAGTGCGCCGCTGCGTCATCAGCAGGAAAGGACACAGTAATAACCCTCTTCTGTAGCGATCTGCTGTTACCAGATGAAGGTTCCCACTCAACCTTTTCTAGCAATTACTGTAATATTGTCCTTTAGTGGATTCATTAGGCGCAATCAAACATCTCATCGGGAGAACAATGGTTGAATCCCAGGGGGCGATGCGATTCATGCATTGTTTTATTTTATGTGTGCCCGTGAGACGACAACACAAGCATAAGGGTTTGTAATCGCTAAGGGTTTCCAACCTTACTAGGATTAAAAACAATCACTGTCCTTGTCCAAAAGATTTCATACCTTGGTCTCTACACTAAAAATACTGAGCAATTTATACTATATTTAGGATTATAATCATTTTGAAAGCTTTATGTAACCCTGAGTGGTTCCATCCTTCCTTCTGTCAGTCAGCGTTAGTTGGAACATCACTTTGCTTCTGTCCCACACTCTGTGTTCTCATGCAGCGTTTCATAATGCAGCTGGACTCCCAGCGAAGCGCTTTCGTTCCTTCTTTCTGACAACACACAACCGACCGAATGTGGGGAAAAGAGACTGCAATAAAGCCTGATGGGATGGCTTATTAAGCAGCATTCCCTGCCTCCAAAACCGTGCCATTGTTTGACTGAATCACCAGAGACAGGAGCTGGTCGTTA